AATTTGTTTAGGTTTTATTGTATATATATATATATATATATATAACCAGAATATCACAAATTACTATATCAATACCACAGACTTCCACTATAATTTATTAAGCTTAGTAACTAAGCTGCATTTCAGTCTAAAAAAATATGAAATTTCGAGCACACTAAAGAAATCTTGAAATCTTGGTTCGAAAGAAGGAAAAGGTGTCCTAGGAATTTAAAATGGCTAAAAAAGCCACTATGGGACATTCTGAGCTTTTGATTGGTTATTCATGTCATATATATAGAAGTAAGTGTATATAAGGGAGCATTTCCAAAACTGGAAAGAGGTGGGCAGGGTGCCACTGTGTTTGATTTATTACATGAGCAATATCTTAGCATATAGAAAAGATAAGAGATTCTTATTTTATATTCTAGCTTGTCAATATCGGTAATTTTAGTTCCTAATTCATACAAAAACTATAGACTTAGTATCTTGACATCACAAACATCTAATTTGAACCAGTGCTGCATTCAACATACCACGTGACACACAAAAATCGGTGTTTAACTGTGTTTTTTTAATATTTACTTTTAAATTAAGAAGTTAAGTAACATATAATACTAAAATATGGATTATAATCTACAGTTTGATACCAAACTTACTGACATAAATTCATGAAAGAGTAGTTCAATAAGATTTTGAATGTGAGTCAACAAACGAGATGACATGGCCTTTGACCCATGTGGAAAGGGTTAACAAAGATAAAACACACAGAATGTAGCTCATGTACTTAAACCATAGCCAGCTTAATATAAAAGATTTTCAGCATACTGTAATCAAAATATATCCTAATAAATAAATAAATATATATATACCTTTAGTGGATCTATGTACTGGATTAAACGTTCCATACCTAGAATAAAAACACACAATTTAAAATTTGGTTCCAAAACCACAGTTTTACAGCAGATAAAATGGCTTAATCAATATATCATTAAACACTTTATTCAAAAACTAATTACTCCCTTGTTATGGATAAAATATTCATTCTGGCATTACAGTAGATTACATCTAACAGTTACATTAAAAACTGGGTTTTATTCATAAAATATGCTGAAAATTCTTTATAATTCTGAAAAACATCTCAAATCTTATTTCAAAATTATACATCAGATGTATAAATTGATAAAACTAAAATTATACGAAAATACAAATAAGTTTGACCAAATCTTTGCAATCAATATTGAGTGTACAATCATCATCACAGATTACAGTTGACTGGTGAGAAAACTCAACTATCTGATAAAGTTCCTCATAATTCTAAACATTATTATTATTTCTAAACTTGGAACATTAGAATCCTGTACATCTGCAAACATCTACAAATTCACAAAATGTATAAAATACAAAGCTTTTTCACATGCATGTAATTATTCTAAAATTTTCTAAAACCTCTAGATTATGAAAAGTTATTTCCAATCTAAATTCAGCAATGCACACTACAAAAAAAACAACACATAACTAAGAAGTTATAAAAATATCTTATGTTTAACTAAAGTTTGACTCACCAAATCTTGCTCTTAAATATATGTACTTCAAGTTAATTGGTACTTCTTTCAAAAATTAAATTTATAACCTTTTCAAACTTTAGGTGGAGCCCTTCAAGTACTCAGTTTTTAAATTTATCTTAATTGATGCACTTGATGGTATCTCAAATGCTAAACGTTTATTTGTTTGGTTTTATGTAAAGCTACTTAAAGGCTAATAAGACAAAAGTTTACTGTCCACATGAAAATTCATCAATGAAAAAGTGACCAACAAAAATTAATTTTATACTGATTCTGTACAAATCAGACCAAATCAGAACCAAGTCTGACTGACTACTGAAAGTTTGGTTTAAAAAAAAATGAGAATGGAGCAGGCAAACCACAGTCACTCTTATAATACACCCACAATTCCAAAAAACAGAATGAAATTTTTTATTAGCAGTAACAAGGCATGAACCTCAGCTTCACTGTCTAAAACAATAACCAGTGGGAGCCACTCAGCTCACTGCTGACGGTAGTAATAACTGATATTTCAATTTTTTTAATAGAATTTTTTTCTTAAATTGTAACACCAACCTACAGTACAATAATAAACAAATAATGTATTTTATATTTAACACAAAAATCTCTTCCTCTCAGTTTTAAATGATGAAAATGCAAGTTGGTTATAAAAGTGTAATTAGCCTCTACAACTCTGCGAATACTATTTATCCATGATGTTAATCACCATTGCTTACTGGAAGCAAAAGTAAGTGCATTCTAAATGTATGCAAAATAACAACAATTTTCTTTCACAATGGACTAGATTTTTTATTTCTCATTACTTTTAAGTCTTGTATAATGCCATTCATTTAGTGTCATCTATATACATAAAAGCTACTCAATAAACAATACATTATCAAAAATTTTCTTTCTTCTAGTTTCTCATGCTACACAAATGTTTCTTTTTATTGATGTTGACTTATTGGAATGGGTTCAGAGGAAGGCTACTAGGGTATTCCAGGAATAGAAAGGTTATCTTAAGAGAGATAGGTTAAAATCTCTTATCTTATTTAAGTTTACAAGACTAAAAAAAATAGATTATCCAGAAGACTGATAGGATAAAGACCTCTCATATTTTTGTACTATATTCAGAATATAACAGGCTGAAATTTTAAGATCTGAAAAAGACTGTTTTATTTTTCTAACAGTGTGTGACCTGGCATGGTCTGGTGGATAAGATACTCAACTCACAACCTGCAGGTTGAGGTCCAAATCACATCATTAAACATACCATTTCAGCCAATATGGCATTATAATCCGACATTCAGTCTCGCTATTAATTTGTTAAGAGAAATCCAAGAGTTGTAAGTGGACAGTATTGAGTAGTTGCCTTGCATCTAGTCTATCACTTCAAAATCAGGAATGGCTAGAACAGTTAGCCCTCCAGTGGTTCTACATAAAAATTCAATAAAAAAAACAAAAAAAAGCAACAGGGTGTTTGGCTTATGAAAGAGTTGCCACTGGCAGGAGTAAATAAACAACTCACTTTTTTACTGTTGTAAAGGATGGATATGCAAAGATAGCTTTGAATGACCAAAAGGTCCCTTGTTGTCCATGTTATTTTAATTTTTGCATGTACATATGTATGTATGTACATGCATATATATAAGTATGCATTAAAGTTTGAATTAATACATTTGCAACTACACCTGAAATTATTTTTCTTGATAAATTAACAACCTTGATTTATGTTTAATCTCTTAGAAATTAGTCCAATATTAATATAAAAAAGACAAAAGAAGGAATAACCTAAAAAAATAGAGACCCATGTGTAGCTAATGAATCCAGATTTAATAGTGAATTTCAAACTTTATTTTTTTTACCAAAAATTACAATTTGGAAATAAGAAATTGGTGGGAAAGTAAACCTTGCAACTTCAAAGATTGTTTTTTTTCATTAAACACAGTATATTTTAAATCAAAAACCAATTTGCATTCAATGCCAATAGAAAACAATATCAAACAATCATAACACCATTAAATCCATTAAAGAAAGTTTAAAATAGTACCTGCCCAAGTACACTGCACCCACTTTAGAGATGGAATGTCATACATAAACTGCCTTAACATAAAGCTGTCAGCAACTAATAACTCTGCTCCTTCTAGCTGCTTAATAACATCATTTGTCAAAATAACTTCCCAAAGCTTACTTGACTTCTCTTGTTGGCCTGAAGTAAAAACATTAACAAGTCTGAAATATGTTGAATAAAGTTTTAATATGAATATAGATGAATTATGATCTGTAAATACGAATTAATAAAAAAACAGAGAACTTCAACTAATTATGTAATGTGGTTCAGCAACATGAATCTCTTATATGTTCAACTACTAAATTATAAAGAATACAACACAGAAATAGCATTTCATATATACACTTCCTGCTTAAAGTTTAACCAAGCTGATGAGTTATGGTATTCAAAGAAATAGATAAAGGTTTTATCAGTTCAATACACATAAGCAAGGAAACATTTCCTCACTTTTAGTTTGAATTTTGCTCTTTAAAATTCACATAAAATTTATCCTTTTTTTTAAAACTTTCCTTAAACTGCAAAATCTTGATTTACACTGGTGACTTACTGACAGGAATGACTGTTTTCACTTCCACATCTCTTGGTAGAAGTTTTGTGATTTCTTTTCCAAGGTCTGTGATTATTGACAAAACATAGATGACATTTCCGGTTTTCTTAATGGCTGACATTGCTCAAGACGTGCTGAAAACATTTTAAATAATTAAAATAATTATAAACACTGTAGCAGGCAAAAAAAAATGTTTAAGTAAACAATAGCTTTATTACAGTGAGTTGCATTTTATCTTGCATTTTCATTTATTTTCCATTATCTGACCGAGTGGCAATTAGTCTCCACTGTCAATAATAGTTACACAATTAAGTAATTTCAGAGATGTATTATTTTATAGGTCATAGTAGTCCAAAAGATTAGGACACACTAATATTTTTTTTTACTTACACTTTAACATAACATTTAAGAACATGGAGCCTGTTGATTCACTGAGGCTGTTCCATTCATTGAACAAAAATTCAAACCCAGACCTTCGAATATTTATCAAGCCTACCCTTAAACTCCCAGTTTGCCCTTGAAAAAGAAAGGTCCACCTTTCAAAAGCACTCATGTTATAGGGTTTTTATTGATTTATACTAAGACTTCTTGAACCTACATGTTTTTCTGACATCGTGACTTAAACCCCCTTAAATTTTTGCATCCACCACATCTACACAATCCATTCTTAAGAAAAACCATTAGAAAAATAACACTTTCTTTGCTTAAGATGACAACCCAACCAAAATTTATACTTGTGTACCCTTGTCTTACTATTCTCACAACTAAGAACAGAAACACAATTAATTCTCATAATAATCTTACACAACACAATCAGATCACCTCTCACTCTTCTATTTTACAAAATAAAATTTCATAAATCTTAACTATTCCATCATATATGTTATCCTAGTAGCCTTCGTTTGAACCATTTATTTTAAAGCAAGAAGTTTAATATAATACTCCAAATGAGGTCTAACCACTGACCTATACAATGAAATTGTATCATCTTTATTCTTATATTCAATACTTGTGTAAATGTAACCTAAAATCCTTTTTGCCCTTCCACTAGAAACAGAACACTATTTGGATGGTTTACAAGAATGATCAACAAAAATACCAAGATCCATTTCTTCAATAACACTATTAATTATAAGGTTGTTGCTATCAAAAATTATACTTATAATTTAAATTTTGATAACACACATGCAATTTCTTGCATTTATAATAAACAAAAGCCACCTGCCACTTATTTTACCAACTTACCAAATAATCTAAGCCCCTTTTGTAAACCAGAAACATCCTCCTCACAGCCAGCAATATCCCTTCAGTATAGCTCAAGTGGCCATGGATATCCTTGTTCAAGGGGAATAATTACAAACCCCTATCCCTATCATGAATGAAGTTCAATGTGTTACCCAATCCTGTCAGACAAGGGTTATCACATGCTGTTACTATCACAGTGACTAGTGATCAGTACAGCAAAACATACTTAGTTCACAATGGTCTAATCCCACCTCACATTCCTTTACCATTGCAGTAGCTAAGTGCTATTCTTAGTGAGAATGCATGCAACTTATTTCCTGTACATTGTTGTGACCCACAACAAGTATTTTTAGCTCCCATGCATACACATATCTATATTTATATCAATAAATGTTTCTATATTTTGATAATGCATAACTATACATCATTAACAAGTCTAAAGCAAAAGTATTATAATGTTTTTGTTGTTGCTTTTTGTAATAAAAGTGCATGAAATGTAAAAAAAACTAGAAAATATTCTTTCCTGAACATGAGTCATACCAATATTGTTAACATATACAATAATATTTGAGGAACAACAATGTGTTGTTTGGCCCATCATGGGTGTCCAATTCATTTCAACAACCATGCCTATATCCAGCCTTGCTTTATTACGCATTCATCACCTTTAACCCTTCTTTTTTCAACTGAAAATTATTTTAAGGATTTAACCTGTCCTCATGTTACAGCTCCTCTATTTTCCTCTGCTCTGTTGTCACAATACAATCTGCGCTAATTTCACTTTAAATTTTGTACGCGTATTTATAGCCTGACCAAGGCCCATAAATTTCTACATACTACGAGATATTACGATGTAATCATACTCGATCAAAACAACGAGAACTTAGGTTCTACTTCTAGTAACATGATGCAACAATACAAATTACAAGCGCCAACTCACAACAATGGGACTACACAACGTATGATTCGTACAGTTACGTAAACAAATATGCGATAACTATCGCTTCTAAACATAACTAGATTTAACACTCGCATTAAACCTAAACAGTCTTGTATATCTGATACTCTTGTCAATATCATTAATGTATATCCAAAAGAATATGGGTCCCAGCACGGAGCCTCAAAGTAGTACCACAATTGTAACTCCAATCCAGTTTGACTGAATTACTTATAATGTTTTTATTACCACGCGCTGCTTCTTCTCCTCTTATTCAAATTAGCTAACATCTCACACAACCACAGAGATAATCTTTTTAACTAATGTAATATTTCACTTTGTCGAAAGCCTCATGAAAATCCAGGTATACCAAATCCACACCTTTGAATTCGAAGAAGGGCAAACGATTTCTAGAAAAGGTATTCCATCATGTGAAACCACACTAGCTTTCCAAGAAAAGTATAAAACTTTTTAGATGTTGTTTGCACGTTGTTTTTAATAAGTCTCTCCAAAACTTTTACCAACACAAAAGTAATACTACCTGGCCCATAAAATTAAAAACTAACTTAATGGGACAGTGCTTTTCACCTGTGTAACCTGCGCCTGACCTTCACTCAATCACATATTTTTCTAAGGGGCTTATTTATTAAAGGCCTTAACCTCTTAGTACCCTCAGAAAAATACAATCTGCCCCATGAGCTTCATCATTTTTTATCATCTTAACGATTTTTAAAAATAATTTCTGGGAAAATATTAAGTTCGTGCACAGTGTAATTAGTAAAACACTGAACAGGCAATTAGGAGTATGGCGTCATCAAAGAGGGTGCATATGCAACTAATTGTCTTGACGTGTAATTATGAGCAATATTGTTCACTAGTACTGAAAGTTAAAATTTCAGCATCCTCCAAAGTCCCAATTCCCATTTTAACTGTCTTACTTTTTGATATACTTAATTACATTTTAAACCTGAGAACCCATAATTTATTGAGATTTTTTATTTCTATATTCAATTACAAAGGGTGACTAAAAGTAAAACCAAAAATTTGGGATACGAAGTAAATTGAAAATACTTACCTAGAATTATAAATATCTTAGCTTTTAGTTTCTATCAAATAATCGTTTTTGCAAATTTGATTAAAATTCGGCTATTAATTTTCTACCAAATTCCTCTACAAATGACTTCGGTAATTATTTTTTAACTGTGGTGGGAAAAAAAAAGACTCGCAATTAAAGTACAAATCCACAGAGTCACGATATAAAATTACACGTGACTGATCAACATAATCATCTGTGCTAAAAATAAATAAATACCATAAATCATTTAAAAAATAGATGGTTCATCTTGACATATTCAAGATGTTCTGTTCTGAAGGCTGCCCTACAAAAGTTGTTATCTATTTTTTATTGATTTTTTTAAATTTGTAACAGTCTTGCATTGGCGAAAAATACTACGGAAATAATTTGGTTTGGATTGGTTTGTTTGGAATTTTGCGCAAAGCTACACGAGAGCAATCTGCGCTAGCCATCCCTAATTTAGCAGTGAAAGACTAGAGGGAAGGCATCTAGTCATCACCACCCACCGCCATCTCTTGGGTTACTCTTTTACCCACGAATAGTGGGATTGACCGTCACATTATAATGCCCCCACGGCTGCAAGGGTGAGCATGTTTGGTGTGACGGGGATTCACTTCATAAACACGTATATAGTGATTTAGGCAGCCTTATAAGTACTGTTACGTCTCCGT